GTTACATTTCTCAAAAAATCAGAGATTTATTTTCTCTCTTCCTGGCTACTTTTGTTGCTGTTAAGTTTTCTGGGTTTGAAATTGAGCCGAGCTGCTCTTTCTGCTTGTTTGCTACTGTTTTTGTCAAGCTGTTAGATGTTTCTTTCTGTTTCAGAGGCTTATTTTCTTCTCCTTTATTTCTGCTTCTTGTCAAGGTATTCTCTTCATTTCTGATTATGTAATGCAATTTGTAGCACTTAATGTTTAAAAAAATGGCTGCATAAAGTACATGTTTGTTGTTGTTGATGACTGTGAAATTATGTGTTCTTCCCTGTTGAATTAGTGATTACCATCATCGATTGGCGCCCTTATGTTCCTCAAAGTATGAAATGTATTCTGGCACTACCTGTGTGTTTAAATCAACTATGTAAGCTATTTGTTGCTCACTGATGGTCTTATACTTACTGCTAATTTAATACTTTGTGCAAAAATGGTAATTCATGTTTGAAGGAATGTTGAGGGCCTAAATTGGTGAATCTGACCACCAGTTGATCAGATCCACCTCTGAGGGATGTCGAGCTCATGAGATCCTTACAGGAGATTAAACACGTTGATCCATTTCTGCTCGTCCCAGTGATCTAAGCAGCAGTATATGTGTTTCGCTCTAATTTTTTTCTCTTTCGTGTGAGATTGTAAACCATGACTGTAATTGAAAAAGATAGTTTCTTCAATGTAATGGGTTCAATTTATTCTTGTTATGAGCTTTCCAGTGTTCCAACTAATTATAATTTAGTATAATATTTGATTAGTTTTGGAAATGTCACGAGTAATTACATGTTTTTGATTTGAAAGCTTCAATTCTTTGGGTACAGGGGATTCGTGGTTGTAATTTTGGGCCTGATGGGCCAGCAAGCCCAATTTCGCTCTTTCACTAATAAATAGAGCATTTGGACTTCATTATGATATTTTTATCATGAGCTTGGCCAGCTGAAGTCTGCCACGCCCAAACCCCACAAGGATTTCGATTAGGGGTCTCCATTTGGGCTATAGTAACAAAGCATAATAGGTGTGAATTTAACTTTATGTTTCTTCCATGATCTTCTGTTGAAAAGCTTATCAAAATTGTGAATAATTTTGATTTGGAGTTGGCTTAATTTTCTCCCCTTATATACTCTGTCATCGTCAAATAAAACTAAGGTCACAGTAATCATGTATTTATTTTAAGACTTTGCAATTGAGGAATGATGTTTCGACTTTCGATCAAGGTGTCTATAATATCTAGACCTCCACCAATAACCTTGAACCTTAGGAAATTAGATAACTCATAAACATTTGTAGAAAGCTTTAGCCATGTTTATAATCTACTATCGTGATTATGTACACGTTCGCGTGACATAATTATGATATCAGAAAAATAAATCCAAGTACGCATTCACGCGACTTTTGGCCAAACAATCATAAGATTAATAAAGCGTGATTAATTGTGTACACATTCGCATGACATAATTTAGCGCCCCAAATAGAGCGGATTTAGACTCATGTAATCCGTTTTTGAAGATTAAATCCATAAACGCCAAATATTAAAAAGGTAAAATGTATATAGGCTCTAAAATGCGTAATTAAACAATTTAATTAAGCCATGTATGATTAAAAGCGACCGTGCTAAAACCACGAAACTCGGTAGTGCCTAACACCTTCTCCCGGGTTAACAGAATTCCTTACGTGGTCTTCTGTATTCGCAGACTTAAAACATAGTCAAATTTCCTCGATTTGGGATTTAAAATAAACCGGTGACTTGGGAAACCACAAATTATTTCAAGTGGCGGCTCTGAAATACACAAATAATTCCATTTAGATTAACGTCACTTTAATTGAAAAAACTCCCTATTCTCTCGTGAAAAAGGAGGTGTGACATGGTCATTTTACAATTTCAAGCCTTTGGGTTGAAGTTTGAAATTTTTTGCTTAAAGGTTTGAAGTTGGGAACTGGTAAGTCTAAGAGCCCGTTTGGATTGACTTAAAAAAATGACTTTTCAGCAGAAATGACTTTTAAGCCAAAAAGCAATAAGTTGGTGTTGCCCACCTTATTATTTTTGGCTTGTTTTAAGCAGTTTTTAACTTATTTTAAGAATTTTTTGCCTTCTCAAATATTTTAAAAAGCTAAAAAGAACTTAAAGCTGATTTGACCAGCTTAAAAGCCCATCCAAACACCCTCTAACTTCAGAGGTTGAAATTGGCATATTGCTACAACAGCTTCATCCATTCAGGAGGAGCCTACGACATATGTAGACATATGACGAGGCTAATGTGTATAGGAATGTTTTGTTCGTACTCTGTCAAATTCTAGTATAATTTATGATATCCCACAGAGATAGGATAATCTATGCTATAGACTTGAAATATTTAACTATTATTTGAGAGAATCAAAATGGTAAAAAGTGAGTGAGGTTTAAAACTTGTTAATTACTTAAACAAAACAAACGAAGATTTTTAATTTAAAAAAAATTTGGGAATCATTGAATTCACTTGATAATATTACTATAATAAAATCTCAATTTCTACATTCATTTTTTTAAAAGAATAATTATTTATTTCTAATACAATTATATCTTTCTCACTAAGAAATAAGCAATTAATAACACTCAATGAGGTTATGTTAATTAATCAATTTAAGACTAGTGACGATTAAACCGTTATATTTTTCTTGCTTGCATTGTGCTAAAAGATAGTAAAAAGTTCGTGAGAATATTTTTACTAAAGATCAATAATCTTGCCTACAACAATTCCTCCGTGAGAATTAAAACTGAGACAACCCAAGATTACAGACTTGAAATAATAGTTTATTAAAAGTTACTTCTACTATACTATTTTATCCATTGGTTATTATATATTAGTTTTGCTCCGTGAAAATTACAAAATTAGTATAAGAATAACTTAGAGATGAAATATGTAGACGTGATAATAGATTAATTAAAAATCATCATTCCAGCACGGTATGAAATGTAAATAAAAAGTTTCAAGCCAAGAATATATATATATATATATATATATATATATATATATATCAAGCTCCATCAACTATCCCAACAAAAAGAAATTACTCTATTATGGAGTAAGAAAAACTAAAAATTAAAGGATTTTTAGAAGACTAGAAATATTTAAAAGACTAAGTAAATATTTTTACTACAAGGAAAAGAAAGAGACCGAAACTAGTTCTTGCGTCTTGCAAAAGATTGGATGATCATTATACAAAGAGAGCTTGCTATTTATAGGAAAAGATGAGTAGCTTTTGTCATGTTCCACTTTTGCGAATGTGAAATCCATGTATGCAATGGTAGTCTTTGTGTATGTAGATTCCATATATGCAACTATGATACTTTTGCTTCACTCTTGACTTCATGAGTTAGTCTTGCAAATGTAGGTTCCATGTATGCAAATGTGACCTTTGCGTATATAGATTCCACATGCATCTATAGCTCTTTTACTTCCATTCGTGGCTTCATGGGTTAGACTTGCAAATGTAGGTTTCATGTATGCAAATATGACTATATAGATTTCACATATGCAGCTATGCTCCTTTTCATCTCTAGTTGTCTCTTTCCACAATTATTCCACATTTGTGAATATGAAGATGATGTGTGCAACTGTGGCTTTGCTTCATTCTCATGTCTTTTAGCCTCTTTCCTTTCTTTTTCATAATTTCTTCTTCCTACAAGATTTGTTAGAAAATATGCGAGGATCGGATATCATTATTTATATTTTATTTTAAGATCTTGTTTTTTTAGATATGAAGTTACATGAATAATTTATATCCATGAACATATAGTCAAGTGAATGTGCATCACTTGCTCTTTCGATCTCCATGGTCATAGCTACAATGCTTGTTAATGCAAACCCAGCACTGAAGAAGGCACTCCTTTTTGCAAAAAGTACAGGTTGAATTTCTTAATTTTATTTCCAGTTTTGTAAACAAATTTGTCCTTATTAATATAAGACAAGTTTTTTGACACGTGCGTTGCACGTGTATGCCGAATCATATAGTCAACAATTGTGTATTGACTAAATAATTATGCTTGAAGAAATAAAGTACAAATTCTGTGAAGATTAATATGAACTGTCGTATCTTGACTAGTCTGTTAGGGGTCAAGATGATTGGATATCGTTTGAATCTACAAAAAATGAAGAATCAAAATATAATTAGACTACATATAATTTTTTACTTATTTTTTAATTTTTGAGGTACAAAATGTAATAAACCGTGTTCCGCCTAATAGCTCCTTATAGCTGATATTCCTGGCGTATGTTCCTTTTATTCATTATGGTTGTTCTGTCATGACGAGGACATAGAGTTAAAATTATTGATGTTCGTAGCTCGGTAGCATTAAATTGACATATATTTTAACCAAAATAAATGATAAAATTATAACGACATGTTATTTATTTATTCCAAACTCACATCATTTAAAGTACTATTATAATGGTTATTGTGGAGTATTATTTATTATTTATTATGAAATGCTTTTACGTTTTTCTTCCTTGAGGTTGAAGGCATATTTAGTTATTCCCAGTCGACGTTTCTTGAGCTTTCCTTTCACACGTTTATTAATTGAATTAGTCTACATTTATTATCTAATGCAACTCTTCATACTATTTAAGGAGGAGGAATTTATTAATTTTCTTGAGGGTATTATAGTCTCTTAGTTTTATTTATAGGGTCATTTAGGTCTTTTAACTTTCACTTTAGGCTTCACAGTTTTTATAACATAAAATATGATATGATGATTTCGGTATTTACAGTTCACCATGTGGTAAGCAATGTGTAGTTTGAAGTTCATCAAAACTGGCTAAGCTTTAAATAGTTTTAAAAACTGGATATAGGAGTGCTCAAAGTGGCTACGTAGTGCCATTTCTACCTTATCTTCTATGGAGTTATCCAAATTGGGAGAGCATGATACATGGTGTATTATGGAATTCCAGCTCAAGTTTAAACATTGATCACAACAAATTCAGGTACCGACATAGTTAAAGGCAAAATATTTCTCAACCATAACTCGAAATTCTTTATTTATGTGTGTCTTATTGTAGATAAATAAATATATTACTATTGAATATGGGTGCATATAGTTTTACAGAATTTGCCATACATCACAGAGAAGAAACTTGCGAAGCTCCCATGTCAAGAACTACAATGGTTCAAAGTTAAATAAATTCGAAACGCATGAAAAGCTTCACAGAACTGTACTTCTCTCCCTTCCGATCGAAGAGTGGGACTGCTCGGATACCTTGTCGCAGCTCTGGCACAGGTAGACATGTTTGGCCAGCGAACTCATCCTTGTCGGACCTATTATAATCAAGAACTTTAATGCGAAGTAGAGCCAATTCAGGTACTGTTAGTGGAAATTCAAACTGTTCATCCCACGTTGGTATCCAATTGTCGTCCATTGTCTTTGTTTTCTTCTTTATGGCATCAGCAGGAACTCCAGCAATTCCTACCTGCACATAGTTTTACATCTTCACCGTTCATATTTTCCTATTACGATCCTCTTGAAACACAATAGGACAGAAATTTCGAGAAAAAAAAAAATTGGAAAGCTACTTCCTTTTAATCTTCTTTACTTTTCCCGTTTTCCCCAAACAAACTGAAAACAATTAATGCAATACAAAAAGACGACAAAGAATATTGAAGGATAACATATTAATCTACCTTTGCATAGAAATCTGGAGGTGAGTACGTATCAAAGTGTGTCTGATCAAAGTCCTTGTCCCACCCATCACCCATATATACAGTCACCTGCTTAATGCAAGTAAGGTTAAATCAGGTTTCAAGAACAATGGAACATAAGCAACAACAATGCCATCCGACAAAGTCAACTAGCAAATTACCATTCCCTATGTACCTTAAGTGTAGTTTTGACAGGCAATTTTTTTGTAGGATCGAAGACCTCATTGTTGGGACCAGCTGTCAACAGTAAATCAGGTTTCTTAACATATCCACAGCCACCATTAGCCCTGAACATACCATGCATCAACCAAAGTGATCTTCCGTAACCCTGCCGCAGGACACTTATTCAGTACCTATTTCTTCGGAAATTTGGTAAGTAATTACTAAAAGGAATAGAAGATGAATGACAACACCAATCAGGTCATAATTCATGTGTTACAGGAATTAAACCCTTCGACTCACGTAATCTATAGAATTTTAATCAAAGATTTCTTTAATCGGCTAAAACATTAGAAGGATGGAGAGTGTGGCAGATTCAATAATGGGTTTTCAGGTTCAGTAAAACCTAGTGCTTCGTGGTCAAAGCTTACATATATGTACGAAAAACAAGTACATATAAAGTTACACATACATTGGAGGACCTACTCTCTCAATCAGCACCCACAACGTCTAAGTTCTAGATCCGCACAACATAGACATTTGAATTACAGCTAAGAAATAAAACGAGACTAAAAAAATTAATTATACGTAGTTATTATAATATTACTACACTTCGGAAAAAACAAGGAAGGATCAATACTACTGCTTTCCTCTAAGAATCAAATGTTGCATCGAGATAATAGGAAAATAATCTTCAAGAGGGGAAAAGCCATGTTTGGAATCCATATTAATGTAATAGCAGCAATGATAAACCGAGTAGAGGAGAACTAAAATCACACGAGAATTTATTCTTTCAATCTAGCTTCATAATACCCGGTTCTAGTTTTTGTACAGGATCGGAGACAGAAGACCAACCTGCATATTAAATGCTACCATTTGAGCTCCATGCATCCACCCAACAAAAGGATCATAATTGGACGAGTCAACACGTATTCCCTTTGGGTATACTCTCAGCAAATTTTGCTGCGTGAACCTAAAAAGAAACATCATGGGAATACAGACAATTAATTAAAATGTTCACTACAGATATGTACAGTTGGCAAAGTTACAAATGGTATGGGTAAATTTCTTAGACAATTAATTACAAAGTTATCTCCAGATATGCACAGTTGGTAAGTTACATATACATGGTATAAGTAAATTTCCGAAACCTTCACATGCATGTATATGTAACATTGAAAATCAACTAGTATATGATGCAGTATAACAAATCATTTCTGATGTAACCCAAGATTTTGAATGTATCCAAGATTTTGAAGTATAAGATATGTTGAACTCGGTCATCTTAATTCTTTCAATTGATCATACAAAAAGGAAATAAAAAATGGGAGCAAATTTAAGAGGTGGACATAAACTCGAGGAGCTACTTAATTATTCAACTTCCAATCTGCCATTGGGTCAATCCACGAGTGTATAACATCACAAATAACAGAGGAACTTTCGGATGGATGAATACAGAGTTATACCTGATAATCTCTTTGCTATGAGTATCTACAGCCTTTTCAAGTGCTGGTTCACTGAGACTAAGCCGTCTTACGTTGTTGGGGTCAACCCTCAGCCAATCAGATAGTCCTCCTTTTCCCTTTCCAGCATGAATGGCAATTAAACGCTTGTATTCTGAAGCTGCATTCTTCTCTGACTTTGGATCTCCTTCATCATCTTCATCATCTTCTCCTTCATCAGAATCATCCTGCTGGGAAAAAGTCAATTAGGAATAGGGCAAACGAAGAAGTCGGTTAAAAAATGGACATGCTAAAAAATAGAGGCTTAATAATTAGAGCATTTATTGTACCTCCGCTCCTTTCTTTGAGGCATCTTTTTCCTTAACTTCCTTGGCTTGTAAGTATTCTTTCGGCGGCTTAGTTGATATCATAATACGTTTTTTCAGTGATTCTGGAGAAGGAAGCTCCTTCAAACACTCTGAAGGAGAAAACAGCATGTCTCCAAATGTTTGAGTGATCATCTAGTATGTTGTCACAAAAGCATTATTATGATCAAAGAAGGCGGTAATCATATCCAGAAAATGCACATACGCACCTCAGCTACTTTTGCCTGAAGATCTGGAGTTAGATGATCTTCAAGTGTTATTACAACAGGATACTCAGAAGCAGAAAAGGCATGCTCCTTAATAGACCTCAAGCATTTGATGAGTGCCACTGGAGTGGTCAGTGTCCTGTGTGAAAAAGCTAACACTCAAAACTACAGCATGAAAAAGTACAAGCAGGGGAACTCAATATCGAGATTCACATGTTTGAAGACCCAAGACTTCATTATGATAGCACCTAAGGTGGCTATCATGGGCTTGGAATCCTCCATCCAACCATCAAGAGCTTGGGATGCAATAGAAGAGCAAGGAAAGAAGACTTCAAGGTCCATATATACTAGAATGGATGTACATGAGAAGGAGGGCCAAGGCTCAAGAGAATAAATAGACTCCTTAGGGTTTATGAATTGTTGATGAAGAACTCTCCTGAGAGAGCCTGCCTTTGTGGGGATATCCCTTACCTCTTCAATTGAACCTCCCTTGGATTCTTCTAGTCAATATTCATGTATGAGTTCAATTTCTCTTCCCCACTGGATTGATTTGTTGTAGATAAATTGCTATTGGCAGGTTCAAGTATATATTACTTGGGTTGACTAGTTGTTTCTTCTATTAGATTCTATCTTTTCCTTGAGGTGACAGGCATATTTCACTAAAATTTCAAGCATTAAGGTAACCCAAGAGTTATTCCTTTTCTCTTTTAGATCATAAAAGATTGTTCGTGTATGCATAAGAACTACTCTTTTGTTAAATCACATTCTTGAATTCTGCTGTAATGACTGACCTAGCACTTAACAAGAAATTTTCATCCTGGATTACACGGTTTGGTATTTTGCTAAGTTTGGTAGTTCGCTTTTACAAAAGAGGCAGGCATAATTCTCTTTTACAGTTAAGGAAAACTCATATTGCTCTTAAATTCATAAATTCACAGCTTTGATTAGTCTATTAGAGTACTTTAATTTGTCTTATGAGTCACAAGAGAAAAAACTTGTCATTTCTCTAGCTTTCAAGTAACTTAGGATCAAGCATGTAACTGTGAATGTTGTTCTTTGACATTTCTGCCGACAGCTTATTATTTCAACTCTTCTCGAGCAATAATCATGACGACATCTTTAAGAAAATTCTTAAACGGGAAGTGCGTCCAGGATCATCCTGTAATCATCCATTTATATTGCACCATGTGACAAAAAATGAAATGCTTCTCCGTCCACTTTGCTTCACCACCAATCTACTGCCCTGATCTCCTAATGCCTGTTTGTTAACATAGTAACTCCTTTTGGCCTCCCCAACAGCCTTGCTAGTGATAAATGCAAGATGATGCCTACCATCCACACCACGTGTAGCAGACAATTAATGAAAATTTCCTCCACACCAGATTGAAGATGAACTTAAGTAGACTTAGTTTTCACCATTTAACTTAGATATAAACATTATATGAGATTTTCCTTGTCATTATTTCTCAAAAAGAAAAAAGAGATTTTCCATGTTATTATCTGTTCATTGGGTATTTGAATGGACACTGCATCGCTGACTTATTTATGAACAGAAATTTCTTGTACTGACAGTAGGATGTCCAGTTAATACAAGCCCAACAGCTTCAGTCTGGTCATAACTGCAGGTCCCTTTTTTCTTGGGTGTTGTACAGTCTAAACAGGTGCCTATGAATGGTCACTGTAGGCACTTTCAGTTAAATTTAATGAACCACCTCATCTAAAAGCTTAAACTGTACTTAGAGAGGAGCACTTCCATTCATTTAATAATCTGTTGACGCTTCCCTCCTGAAATGATTTACTCATCTTCATCTAACTAGCTAATGCTAAAATTCAGTATCTTAGTAATATCACGATCTGGAACTCTCGTGGTGTGTGTTATAGGAACATAAAATGCAAATTTCCTCCCAAAGATTAAAATTGAAAAGAAGTAGTTCATTAACAAAAGAAACAAGATGCCTAAAGCCCACTGCACAAGACTGTTACATGTAGCATTCCAAAAGCATTAGCACACTCATAATGTGGAGTTTGTTAGTGGAACTTGTTCATATTCCTGCCAGCTGTAAACTTGCACCTAATCAGTTGTGACAATTGCAGTGCTCTTGGTTTAGTACTTAGTACAGGTATACACGTGGATATATGTAAAAATGCATAAGCTTATTAATGGCTTCAGTTATATGAACATTCGGGTTTGTGCACCGGGCTGAAACAACAAAAAATAGATATGCATGTAAATTATGCGCAAAAGCATAACCTTGTTTATCAGGCTTCAGTCAGGAACCGGCCAAAGAAAGTGAAACATGAATGAAGTGCTTATATCTTCTTTAAAATTTTAGAGTCTACCTCTTGGTTTGTCACTAAGAAATATCCACGAACTAGCCAATTCTCTTGTGAGTATATTCATTTGACAGATCATATGGCAACCATAAACTCAACTGAACAAATACAAAGCTAAGGGCCATAGATTCCACAAATAAACTAGAACTTCATACATTAATGCACATACCTTCCATGTAGAACCTCTACATCATCTTCATCTGAATTTGGCCAAATATCCAATTCAATTACTCTGACACCTCTCTGCAGAGCTTGTATTATGGGAACATCACTGCAATCACTACTCAGTTGATTCCCAGTTAGATAAGAATTATGGCCTGTGTATATGTAGTAATGAGACAAAGGTGCAGTCATATCATGGTGAATCTGGAATCCAAAAAAGATCCATTACTCCATTAGTAAATTCATTAAGAATACATCTAATATACTACTTTATGAAGAAAGACATTAAAAGTACATGAAACTTCTGATATATTACCCCGCCATACCCATTTAGTATATGATAGTGTTTCGCTGTAATAAGAGTTTATATTAATTTAACAAACACATTAAATAAGTAACACTATTAAAACAACAAGAACTACTAGCCAATCTAAGAAGAAAAAAAGAAACATCAGATCAAAAGTCTAAAATTTGAGCAGTATGATAAAATTTTGAATTCTAGAAAGTTGTACAGAAATAGAACGGTGTCAAATATTCTACAAGGGCTAAAGTGATATATAAACAATTGAGACAGGTGTGGCTGGTATGGCGGAAATGTTTTCCCTTATATAATCGTTTCCTGGATCGTATTTCAGTATTTGATAAGACAGGGCATGATGAAAATATTTTTCGATATTAAATGTTGATCACAAAGTCTAACTGTTTGATTGAAATTAAAACATTCGTAAAGAAAGCTGACTTTTACTCTCATTTTGGTGCAAAATATATTCCAAATTAAACACTAAAAAGACAATTAAAAAAACTTCACAAAATTAAATTAGTACCCCGAGTTTAGGATCGAGAGGAGGATTAATATCAGAAAAGAGATACTTGAAGAAAGCATCGAGCTGGAGGCCTGTGTGCTTAGGGTCGCCGTGCTTATTGATTATCGCCTGAGCGTCGTCTAAGGTTACATTTTTCTCCTTCTGAACTTCAATTAAGAACCGATGAAAGTTGTTGACGTTCATGACTCCGGCACCGTCGGAATAATGTTTGAATGTGTTCTTCACGTCCGCCGGAGCCTCGGCGGCGGCCATCGTAAACTGCCGACGGAAAAAGAAACCGACTTTGTACGTCTGTTTCGACATTGTTAAGTGAAACGGAAAATGAATTCCTGATTTTCAATGCAACAGTTCTTGTCAAAGGCAGACAAGAATGATCCGATCGTCGTGAGACTTATTTTTTTAACAAACTTTTCGTTATGCGTGAGTATTTTATATTATTAAAAAATGTCTAATAGGGAGTGAGGAGTTGAAAAAAGAAAATGAATTGGGGTTGAACTTTTCAACGTGTCATAAAAATAAGGCGACCGACCATTTAACATAATTAGAGCCCGTTTGGATTAGCTTGAAATAGCTCATAAGCATTAGCTACTGAAAAATACTTTTAAGTGCTGAAACTGATTTAATAAATAAGCAGTTACGTGTTTAGGTACAAGTGCTGAAATTGATAATAAGTTGCTGCAGTATTTGATAAAAAAGTGCTGATAAGCTATTTTTCCGTTAAAATGACTTAAATAACCTTAGAACTGTTTACACTTATAAGGCCGTAATTTCTTCAAAATTTTAGATTCCAGATCGATTCAAATACGAAATATTCTATTTGTCATTTTATTTTAAATACTATTAGGCTTAGATAAGATAATTTTTATGATAAATATAATTTATTTTATGATAAACATATAATCATAAGTTATACTAATTAATAAATTGACAAAAGTTTCTCAGTAAAAAATAAACCTAAATAGGACAAATTATTTGAAGAGAAACAAACATTGTTTTCATCACCACAACACTTAGAAAGCAATACACCAAAAATTTGATATGTCCTCATTTATTACATACAGTTCAAAGATTAATACACAATCACATAGATATAATTATGGAAAGGAATATAGAATTTGCTTATCTTAAATATTCAATGAGAATCGAGGTGGTGGTGATGGTGGTGGTGGTTTGGGGGGGGGGGG